ATGTTTTAAAATATTATCATCCACATTATTGCACGCATGCAGTTCAAAATATCTTTGAACGGCCTTCTCTCGCTCGTGCCGGCCCCTCTCGCTATTCCACACTGCAAACAAGTCGACGTTGGAAAAAGTGAGGTTACCTAATAAAAATGCAAATTCCGCCAAAATATGGAAAAATATGACATTAGGACCAATTCCTGTTAACTCAGAATTGACAACGCTACAACAATCACTTGGACAAACACTTAAACAATTCTAAACTCTCTTAGATAATCCTTTCCAAAGTTGAAATTTGTTTCTAAAAATTCAGCTAAGGAAGCTCTTAGAAAACTGCAAAATATTAGTATACACACGCACAATTTTAACGATTTAGTACATTTAACACACAGTGCAAACCTGCGAGATCAGCATTCATGTTTTGGTTTTCCTCTAGTTGTTGTTCCATCATTAAATATTAAAATCCAAACTCAGCGTACAAATTCACACAACTTAGCCGCACGTGCTTTCGATTGCAACAGCTGACTTAACAGCCGTTTTTCTAACAGGGGACTGTTAAATTTAACATTTTGAGTTTGGGGCATAACAGTCTGATGTTTTCTTAATGCGTTAACAGTAAAATTGTCGTAATTAGAAAACTTTTAAAAAACATGCAAATGCCAGATAAAGTGGTAATTTTCCCCATAGTGGAATGGAAATGGAGCTGAGCCCTCCAGAGGATCTGGTTCGGTTCGTGATTGATTAACTAAACGGAAGACTAGTTAAAATATGTATTTCTTATGTTTCGGTGTGACAGTTCTTGGGAAAATATCTTCGGGTTCTCCGCAGATTTACATTTTTCACCTGATGATATGAAATTGTGTCTCCAAAAATATTTTAAAAAATATTAGTATGTATATATTTATTAATAATAATATATGTCTGCACTTCAATAATCTGTTTGTTAGACTTCTTTTGAAAAACAAAAATATAATAAAAAATCTTTATTAAAAAATGTATAATTTTAATATTCTGAATTAAATGACAATTTTTATTATTTCCTGTTATAAATTTGGTATTTTGTTGTTAATATTTCTTAATTCCTTTATTAAGATTAAAGGTAAAAAGTCAACAAAATCTTTAATCATTGAATAATTAAAATATATTTTAAAATTGTATAGTATAGAGCATGATTAACTAGAAGATCCTGGTTCATTTGAACTAGTTCCCTTAAAATACCCGCTCAAATCAACTCTGGTGTTTGTGCTTTTTGTGGTTTTGGAACACTCCACTTGCCACGCCCCAGTTGGTAATTTATTGATAGTTGCCAGTTTCATTCGCTTCTAATAAGCTGACCCCCCTCCGGAGGTCCTCTACTCAACCCCTTTCCTTTCTGTCTGGGGGTGCATATTTGAAAACTATTTCCACTGTGTGATAATTTATGTGGCAAGTACAAATTACATAATCGTTTGGCCGTTTATGCAAATTAATTGAAAACTTCTCCCTCAATGCAAACGCTCTCTCGATCTCCTGCTGTATTTGTTTTCTTTTTCAATTTCCATTTTCGCAAATCTTTGTCTGACATTTGCCACTCGTTTTCCTCTGTTTTTTACCCTGTTCCCATTTGGCCGTTTGCAGTCGGTGCAATTTTTTCTTTCCAATTTACAATAAAATTCAATAAGGTGTTGGGGATGGACTTAATGGAGATTGACTGACAGTGACTGCCAAATGTGTGTGTTCCGGGGCTTTTTACTCGTACGTACACGTATTCGTGTGTGTAATGCAATTTTATGTGTACTGGTGTATTATATATTGGCCTGTGTGTGATTTTATTTTTTTCCAATTCTAAGTCTGACTCTAAGCTGTTTTTTTTTTGTTGTTGCTTGGAAATAACTGCTTGGAAAAGCTGTAGGTTGACATGTCCGACGGTTTAAATTGAATTGAAATTTTTTAAGGAAGACCTTGTGCCAGTTGTGCATTAAATTTTGCATTTTTCTTTTTGATAAAGGTAGTTCTTGAAAAACATATATAAAAGATAAAGTATATAAAATATTGTAAACAAATTTGAACTATAGAGTAAAAAAATTAAAAAAAATTTTTCTCTACCTTTTTAAGTTAGTTTCAAAAATTTAACATTTTACTTTACACTTTGCACTGAAACTTCTATTAAATGATGTTTTTATTTGTTTTTTCCCACTCTGTCTAAATGTACGTTCATTACTGCAAATGGCATTGCAACTGTGGAGAGCAACAATTTTTAACACGCATACGCACTGTTGCACTTGCATAAAATATGATGTCTCCATTTCAGAATTATCTCCAGACCCTTAACAACCCGTACTCTGAAAATGGAGAATTTGTTAGTTTTTAAACTAGCAAATACATATAACAAATTGCAAGTGCAAAAAAAATATATATAATATATAGATAGAGATGGAGGTTACAGTGACTTCGAGTGGATTTTGCCAGCAGTTTGCAACCTCTGCACAATCAGCAAAAGTCAGCCAGCTATGAACAAAACTTAAACAGACAAAACAAAGTGCAAAGTGGAGGCGGGTGGCTCTAGCAGTTGACATTTATAAATTTCACACGCAGGGCGCGTGAAATGGCGTCGTCGTTTTAAAGTTGAAACATTTGCGTAATTAGCTGGCGACTCTGCCGTCGCTGGGTGGCAACCAACTCCGAAGGTGCAACACCATAAAACTATAGAAAAAATAAAATAAAAAAAGCCCACAAAAGCTCCATGAAAACAAGTCAAGGGAACAACTTTAAGTGTTGGCGCAAATTACGTACCAAGAACTTAATTAAATTGTAACCATTTCTCCATTTTTTACGTTCTGTCTGTCTTTTTTTTTTGGCCCTGTTGGCTTTTGGCCAAATGCATGTTTGCAAACTGAAGCGGCTGACAATTAACTAATGTCAGCCGCGAAAAGTTTCGCCTGGAGATGTGGGTGGCTTTTCAACTTATGACTGTGTGTTCCGTTTTCCGGTTTCGAAACTTCTGTTACTACATCTGTAAATTTAAAAAAAAAATTGTTAAATAAAAATAACTAGTTCCGTTTAATTAAAAAATCATCCCTATCAATATATTCTTTAACCATTTAATTAGATTGAATTTATAAAGGACTTAAGACACAGACTTTTTTTGGCTAATTTTAAGTCATTTATTTTATGTAATTGCAATCTAATGAAAAAGGTAAAAACCTTATATTATTTTAATATGTTAAATCATATTTAGATATCCATTACTTTTTAAAACAAATTTTTTTATTAAATAGAGTAAAGCTTAACTTTGTACAGGATCTGTTATTAATTGTTCTGATTGTGGGAAGTACCAAAAAAAATATCTTAAAAGGTTACAGCCAATTGTTTTTTCTTTAAGTTAAGATAATGTACTCGCGCTATATGGAAATGCTCCATTTGTCATTGATTCGCCTTAAATGACATCGCTGTGAAACCCACTGACATCTGTCTGTTTTATTGTGCGTAAAGTCAACCGATAAGCAATTTTTTTTACTGTGCGACATTTCGGTTGCCACTAAGTGAGCCTTATCAATCGCGAAATGTCCTGGCGAAATCATCGACATAATGGTCATTGGTCGTATCACATTTGTCGCTTTATGCCGTGAGCATTGCCGTTATGAGCATTATATCTGCATTGTCACCTTGTTGGCCATTTAACATGAACGGGGCGTCCTTTCCTGAGTCCCGGATCACGGATCCACCCACCTGGCCCACCCCTCTGGCCCCCTTATCTCTCGGCCATCCGTATTCCCTTTGCCAGGGGTTTAAGGACATCGCTGTCATCGTTACTGTTACGGGCACTCCCCCCATTGCTCGATTTCCCATGTCGTGTTGCTCGGGCTAGGAGTACAAAAAATGATTTCTTGTTTCTTTTTTTTTTTTGATAGATTCACTTTCCGTGGGATCAGAGCGAGGGTTTCGATTCAATTAGAGAGAGGACCATTACCAATATTACAAAAACAAAATCCTATAAGTTAGATTAGTCACTTGAAATGAGTTAAAATAAAATACAAAACGTTACGATAACTTAACAATAGTAAGTATTTTATATAGATAGTAATTTTCACAACAAGCTAAAATTTATTTAAAATTTTAGATAATAACTAAACTAACTAAAATAACAAAAAAAATCTTCTAAATTAATTTGGTCCTTTTTAGTGATTAAAGTTTAAGTAAAGTTTACGATCAGTACCTACACTATCTATTAAGAAAGGATTTTTTTAGGGATATAAGTGGATAGGAATGGAAAATAGTTTTGGTATATAATAATTATATATTTTTTTACTATAAGATACATTTTGCTTTAATTATAAATTCATATTCATTTTATATTATAATATTTGGGAATATTTTTTAAAATTTTCCTTTAAAATTGTTTTGTTTTTATATTTTATTATTTGGTGGTTTTTAAACTTATTTTTTTTTCAAGAAGTCAATCCAGTTTTTTCTGCGCATAGTGAAGTTGTAGTCCAGTAAGCGAATACAAATTTCGTCCCAAACAAGTTTCCCAGTCATCCTAACGTGCTCATTTGAGTGGAATCACTTAATGGTTTTATGCGCTTATCATTATCATCCCAGCGGCGAGCTTGGCGGAACGACTAGCAAATGGCCAGGCGAGGACCCCTTTTGGACTGAGGGATACAATGGCCAGGACCAGGGGATGGGATGGATGGATACAGACAGGACAGGATGGAACCGGGACAGGACAGGACCGACGGAACTCTTCGCCGCAGTTGATTCAATCAAATTTGTTTGCTTGTTCGCGGACATTTTTATCTGGCGGATGTTTGGCTCGCTGTCAGCGCTAAAAATGTTTGCGCCGCGTCATTGTTTTAATGCGAAACACACTCACACACACACACTTTGGATTTCTGGGCCTAATGTTTCACTTTTCAGAGCGTGACGGGGAAAGGTGAAAGGTCGCCAGCACGGCCCACAAATAAGGAAGTAATATGTCGCCGCCATGGCCATCAAATACAGACGAGGGTTTGTTCTCATCCTGGAATTTGTTGGGTTCTGTATTTGCATGAGAAAAGTTAAGTACACTCATAAAAATATTTAAATAATCAAGTTTGCTGAACATTGTCTTTTTGTAGACCATCTAATAAACCTAAGTTATTTTTTTTATGTTTATTCTTTAAGCGTAGCCAATCAATTAATATCATCAATATTAAATATGATGAAATCAACCATGTGATTTACATCTAAAGCATTCCGGCGCAGTGTCGAATATCTCCAATGTAAAATTAAGACCATGATTACGAGCCGATTTGAACAGGATCACGGCATAATTGGCCGTGGGACCTCCTTCGAGCAAAGAAGCCTTACCTCCTTTCGATTCGCTATTGTCGGTGATTACAATTGCGCTTATTTTATGTTGCTGTTTTGTATATTAATACATTTTTATTTAAATGCGGATCTAATATTTTTTTTGTTATTTTTACCTGAGGTTCAAAGTTTATTTTCTTTTCGATGACGCGGAAAAACTTTTTCGGTTGCACGATTTGCTCTTTATGGATTAATCTGGCGCCTTTTTTCAATACCCCAAAGTGTGTACTTCCATCGTGACTGCCAAAAACCACACTCACCAATGCTACGATTGCTATCGCCACAAAAATTCTCTTTACAAAGTACATCATGATCCGAAAGCTGATTTTAAAATGAATAAACATGTGTCCAATATGATATGGTAAAGTAACGCTATTACTTACTCATAAATATATTAGCAACGGTGTAACCAATTTAAAATATTTGAAAATTGCATTAGACTTAGACAAACAGTGTACTTAATTATTTGCCATTCCGGTTTTGAATTAGAGTTTTATTGTTGCTATAAATTTTAATATTAAAGTCGAGATAATAGTTCCTCCTGGCCGAAAATTTGATGGAACAGTAGATATTGTTCGGTCCACCGTCAAGAAGAGCTCCTTCGGCTCCAAAAGAAGATCTATGATTGTTTGTTAGTACGATGGCGCTAATCACTTTCGGATCCCTCTTAAAAACCACATTTTAACTCAGAGATGGAAATAATATTAACTGATTGTATTTACCTTTTGTTTATAGTAAAACTTGTGCGCGATTTTGCCGGTTTTTCTTCCTCTCACAAATATATTTTGATTATGAATTAGAATATCGGATGGACTCAAGTGTCCGATAATGGCAACGTGTTTGGCAAACGTTAAATGGTGGGTGAAGCAGAGTAGAACGATCGCTGTAATGTATGGCCACAGAAATCGAAAGGATATCATTTCTAAAACTCCCTAAAATAAATTACAAAATATATAAAAAATATAAATGGAAACACCCATAATTTCCAAAATTTTCACACTTACTTATAAGAACTTTTAAAAGTAATTCTTTAAACCTCAAAGACCGGAAAAAAATGTTATTTCACTAAATTGATTATATTCAAATTAAACCAAAGCTAATTTGATTTAACCCATATATGCGACATATTTTTTTTCATCGGTTTGAATATATAAAATGTTTTTATTCCCCCAAAAGGGTTTTAGTAGTCTAGTATTACTTGATTTTTACCACTCATTTGTATAGGGGTTTGTCCCCCTGTCTACTCTTCAGCAGCGGTGTTGCGCCCCCTTTTCTTCATTCGATTCAACCCCTCTTGGTCGTTGCCGCTGTCACTGGCATTGAACCGCATTTGTTTAAAAGATTGATGACCAACAATTGACTGCAGGCCCATATACCTCCGCCCACTTTTTCTGCTCCTGACATAATGCGCTCGATATTTATGAGCCGCAAGTCCGGACAGACACTTCAAGTTTCCCGTAATCGAAGGAGAGCAATGACTAACAGCCATGACCTGTAAAAGTTGCGGAATGATTTCATTAATTTAATGTACAACAATGTGACTTGTCACTTGTCAACTTTTTGGTAGGAACTCATTCCGAGGGTAAATCAGTTCATATTAGTCTAATGCCCGAAGGAGGGGACTATAAAACTCACTTAGTGCCGAGGAAAGTTTGCCGACAACATGTCATTGATTTCATACACGCTGCATGCCCAGGACGAAGGCAAAAAGGACAGGACAAGGATCTTAAAAAGTGTCGTATGCAGGCACCGATGCATCATCATGGTTGTCAGCCACATTTACTCGACATTTAACTTATGCCAAGTGCAGATCCGGTGGAGACGGAAAAAAGAAGGGAAAACTGGAAGGAAGGATGTGAAGTCCTCGGTGGGAAGATTTAATTTTTATGCGACCGAGGTTGAGATTCTCAGCGCAATAAAATGTAAAAATTGTTGCTCATTGTCAAAATAAATGGGATACATTTTCACAGCTCTTAAAATATGTTGGAAAATATTTTTATTTTATTTGGCAAGTATGAATACTATTTATTGTAATATTTTATTTTTCTTCGATATTGTTTAACAAAGGTATTCCTTTATTTGATATATAAAGGATTTATCATAACTCTTCTTATCATTTAAAAAAAAACATAATTAAGTTACAGACCTATAGAGATTATCTCTTAAATATTATCTCTTGATTAAATATTTTTCCTTTACCAACCCAAATGAGCAATTCCGGAAGACCAAATTAAGGATGTGAAGTCAACACGAAATGAAACCCCTAAATAACGCAGTCAGCTACTTTATTACCCAGAGAAATTGTCACCCCAGCGAAATGGGAAGGACCCCATACTAACCTAATGACAGACCACCCAGAAACCCATCCATCCAGTCCATTCGCCATCCAAACGATACTACGGCAGACTTTTACGGCACTTTTCATTAGCAGCCACACTTGTTGTCGCGGGGTGCCAAACTTTCTTTTGTATCTATAAAATGTCTTGCTTGTGGTCTTTTTATTTCTCACCCACTTTCCCCCTAGTGGCAGTTATTAACCCTTAACCACACGTTACCATTTATAACCCGGACAAAGTGAACCGAGCGCGTTAAGCTGACAATGGCAACAAATTTTTTCCCTTTTGTCGTCTATTGTGTCCGGAATCTGTTGGCAGCCACCATTCGATTGTGGTTCTTCTGCTCTTTGTCTGCGGCTTACGGCTTTTAATTCGTCCTGAGCCTCGATTCTTAAGGGTGCCCAAGTGGATTTCGCAGTAGCATTTCGGGATATTTTGCGATAATTGCCAGCGAAAATTCGACATATTTCGTTTTTCGCATTTCCTGGGAAAAATTAATTAATCATTTGAGTTTATACATAATTGGAAATAAGATTGGAGATCTCTTAAGAGACCTCAGAATTAAGAGAATAGTTAAAAGAAATGGTTTAAAATATTATTTAAGAACAAAAAGAGAGTATATAACAAAGATAACACCTGTCAACTCGTTTCCATAGTGTTAAAATTGAAGTACTTTTGAAGATTTGATTCTTCGATTAGAGCTCGCCAGGCGACAAAGTACCTATAGTAAACTAATTAAGTGAAATATTATTACTTATAATAAGATACCCGTCTTAGACAGCTCAAGTGGGCACTTCACAATGTGATTAATTTTTGATAGTGTGATTAATTTTTGATAATAAGCCATTCTTCCGCTTCATATAAATAGATCTTCGATAGTGGGCCGTAGAACATTCGTTAATTGGACAGAAAAATGAAAACTATCACACTTTGCCTTCTGATTCTGGTTTCGGCCACCTGCCTGCTGACTACTCGGGTTAGTTAACCAAGTAAATTAAGTTATCATATACTTACTTTAGAAATATTTAATTCCAGGCCAATTCCATAGAATCGCGTGAAAGCTACTTGGACTATGAATTTGATTTTGAATCAGAATTGGAGGATCTGCTAGATGAATTGGATAATGACAACGACTACATGGATGTGGAGGCGCATGGCTTTATTAAAACCTGCAGAAAGATCCTTCGCAAGGCTTTAAAGACAGTTCGAGGCACCAACTGCATTATCAAGGAGGTGGTAAACATTCTAAGTTCCTGCACCAACTATGTGGATGCCATAGATGACTGTGGAACAGCTATTCCCAAGGATGTGGCCAAGATTGTGGTTTCCGTTAAGCAGATTATCAAAATCTGCGACGATATAATTCACTTGCATTCGAAACTTTGTGCCAAGGATGAGTCCGACGATGGCTCCATCATCAAAAACACTTCCAAGTGCTTCTGGGAATTGTTCAAGGCCTCAATGAAGCTGACCAGAAAGATTAATAAGACCCTAAAACTGATTACCAAATTGCCCTCAGATACTAGTTCCTGCTTCGTTAGTGCCACCAATAATGTCACGGCCTCTTTTAACTCTTTTTTGCCCAACATTAATGTCTGCATAGAGTCTATGTAAATTGTGTATGATTTATCATGATAATTATTTAACCTATTAAATAATTTTTAGGATGGTTTTGCATGAACAAAATAATACATCAGTTGTTTATATTCATTTTCTCAAGTAACATTAAGGAAAACGGGAAAAAAAGGGTTTAGGCTTTCTGGACCCAAAACTGCACTTCTAGACTCCATAACTTGAGTTAATGGATCGCGATTTTGACGTGAGAGACCTCTATGAAATTGTGGTTAAATTCTCTAGTACTATACATTAAAAATGTTCTATTTAACGAGGGTCAACATTTTAACTCATTTTCATGTTCAATATCTCCGTATTTCCAATGGCTTTCCAAATGTGACCCAAAAACGGCACTTCTAGGTTCTATAACTTGGGTAATTAGATCCCGATTAAGACGTGGGATACCTCTATGAGTTTGTGGTTGAATTCTCTAATAATCTAGACTTAAATTTCTATTTTACACGGGGGTCACAAATTTTAGCCCATTTTCATGTACGGATTTTCCGTATTTCCAATGGCTTTCCAAATGGGACCCAAAAACGGCACTTCTATATTCTATAACTTGGGTAATTGGATCCCGATTAAGACGTGGGATACCTCTATGAGTTTGTGGTTGAATTCTCTAATAATCTAGACTTAAATTTCTATTTTACACGGGGGTCACAAATTTAGCCCATTTTCATGTACGGATTTTCCGTATTTCCAATGGCTTTCCAAATGGGACCCAAAAACGGCACTTCTATATTCTATAACTTGGGTAATTGGATCCCGATTAAGACGTGGGATACCTCTAAGAAATTGTGGTTGAATTCTGTAATAATCTGAATTTAAATTTCTGTTTTACACGGGGATCACAATTTTAGACCATTTTCATGATCGGAATTTCCGTATTTCCAATGGCTTACCGAATGGGAGCCAAAAACTGCACTTCTAGATTCGATAACTTGGGTAATTTGATGCCGATTAAGACGTGGGATACCTCTATGAGTTTGTAGTTGAATTCTCTAATAATCTAGACTTAAATTTCTATTTTACACGGGCGTCACAAATTTAGCCCATTTTCATGTTCGGAATTTCCGTATTTCCAATGGCTTTCCGAATGGGAGCCAAAAACTGCACTTATAGATTCTATAACTTGGGTAATTGGATCCCGATTAAGACGTGGGATACCTTTATGAGTTTGTGGTTAAATTCTGTAATAATCTGGACTTAAATTTCTATTTTACACGGGGGTCACAATTTTAGCACATTTTCATGTTCGGAATTTCCGTATTTCCAATGGCTTTCCGAATGGGACCCAAAAACTGCACTTCTAGATTCTATAACTTGGGTAATTTGATCCCGATTAAGACGTGGGATATCTCTATGAGTTTGTGCTCGAATTCTGTAATAATCTGGATTTAAATTTATATTTTACACGGGGGTCACAATTTTACCCCATTTTCATGTTCGGAATTTTCGTATTTCCAATGGCTTTCAGAATAAGACCCAAAAACTGCACTTCTAGATTCTATAACTTGGGTAATTGGATCCCGATTAAGACGTGGGATACCTCTATGAGTTTGTGGTTGAATTCTCTAATAATCTGTATTTAAATTTCTATTTTACACGGGGGTCACAATTTTAGCCCATTTTAATGTTCGGAATTTCCGTATTTCCAATGGCTTTCCGAATGGGACCCAAAAACTGCACTTCCAGATTCTATAACTTGGGTAATTGGATCCCGATTTAGACGTGGGATACCTCTATGATTTCGTGGTTTAATTCTCTAATAATCTGTATTTAAATTTCTATTTTACACGGGGGTCAAAATTTTAGCCCATTTTCATGTTTGAATTTCCGTATTTCCAATGGCTTTCCGAATAAGACCCAAAAACTGCACTTCTAGATTCTATAACTTGGGTAATTGGATCCCGATTAAGACGTGGGATACCTCTATGAGTTTGTGGTTGAATTATCTAATAATCTGGATTTAAATTTATACTTTACACGGGGGTCACAATTTTAGCCCATTTTCATGTTCGGAATTTCCGTATTTCCAATGGCTTTCCGAATGGGACCCAAAAACTGCACTTCTAGAATCTATAACTTGGGTAATTGGATCCCGATTAAGACGTGGAATACCTCTATGAGTTTGTGGTTGAATTCTCTAATAATCTGATTTTAAATTTCTATTTAACATGGGGGTCACAATTTTAGCCCATTTTCATGTTCGGAATTTCCGTATTTCCAATGGCTTTCCGAATGGGACCCAAAAACTGCACTTCTAGATTCTATAACTTGGGTAATTAGATCCCGATTAAGACGTGGGATACCTCTATGAGTTTGTGGTTGAATTATCTAATAATCTGGATTTAAATTTATACTTTACACGGGAGTCACAATTTTAGCCCATTTTCATGTTCGGAATTTCCGTATTTCCAATGGCTTTCCGAATGGGACCCAAAAACTGCACTTCTAGATTCGATAACTTGGGTAAATTGATCCCGATTAAGACGTGGGATACCTCTATGAGTTTGTGGTTGAATTCTCTAATAATCTAGACTTAAATTTCTATTTTACACGGGGGTCACAAATTTAGCCCATTTTCATGTTCGGAATTTCCGTATTTCCAATGGCTTTCCGAATGGGACCCAAAAACTGCACTTATAGATTCTATAACTTGGGTAATTGGATCCCGATTAAGACGTGGGATACCTTTATGAGTTTGTGGTTAAATTCTGTAATAATCTGGACTTAAATTTCTATTTTACACGGGGGTCACAATTTTAGCACATTTTCATGTTCGGAATTTCCGTATTTCCAATGGCTTTCCGAATGGGACCCAAAAACTGCACTTCTAGATTCTATAACTTGGGTAATTTGATCCCGATTAAGACGTGGGATATCTCTATGAGTTTGTGCTCGAATTCTGTAATAATCTGGATTTAAATTTATATTTTACACGGGGGTCACAATTTTACCCCATTTTCATGTTCGGAATTTTCGTATTTCCAATGGCTTTCAGAATAAGACCCAAAAACTGCACTTCTAGATTCTATAACTTGGGTAATTGGATCCCGATTAAGACGTGGGATACCTCTATGAGTTTGTGGTTGAATTCTCTAATAATCTGTATTTAAATTTCTATTTTACACGGGGGTCACAATTTTAGCCCATTTTAATGTTCGGAATTTCCGTATTTCCAATGGCTTTCCGAATGGGACCCAAAAACTGCACTTCCAGATTCTATAACTTGGGTAATTGGATCCCGATTTAGACGTGGGATACCTCTATGATTTCGTGGTTTAATTCTCTAATAATCTGTATTTAAATTTCTATTTTACACGGGGGTCAAAATTTTAGCCCATTTTCATGTTTGAATTTCCGTATTTCCAATGGCTTTCCGAATAAGACCCAAAAACTGCACTTCTAGATTCTATAACTTGGGTAATTGGATCCCGATTAAGACGTGGGATACCTCTATGAGTTTGTGGTTGAATTATCTAATAATCTGGATTTAAATTTATACTTTACACGGGGGTCACAATTTTAGCCCATTTTCATGTTCGGAATTTCCGTATTTCCAATGGCTTTCCGAATGGGACCCAAAAACTGCACTTCTAGAATCTATAACTTGGGTAATTGGATCCCGATTAAGACGTGGAATACCTCTATGAGTTTGTGGTTGAATTCTCTAATAATCTGATTTTAAATTTCTATTTAACATGGGGGTCACAATTTTAGCCCATTTTCATGTTCGGAATTTCCGTATTTCCAATGGCTTTCCGAATGGGACCCAAAAACTGCACTTCTAGATTCTATAACTTGGGTAATTAGATCCCGATTAAGACGTGGGATACCTCTATGAGTTTGTGGTTGAATTATCTAATAATCTGGATTTAAATTTATACTTTACACGGGAGTCACAATTTTAGCCCATTTTCATGTTCGGAATTTCCGTATTTCCAATGGCTTTCCGAATGGGACCCAAAAACTGCACTTCTAGATTCGATAACTTGGGTAAATTGATCCCGATTAAGACGTGGGATACCTCTATGAGTTTGTGGTTGAATTCTCTAATAATCTAGACTTAAATTTCTATTTTACACGGGGGTCACAAATTTAGCCCATTTTCATGTTCGGAATTTCCGTATTTCCAATGGCTTTCCGAATGGGACCCAAAAACTGCACTTCTAGATTCGATAACTTGGGTAAATTGATCCCGATTAAGACGTGGGATACCTCTATGAGTTTGTGGTTGAATTCTCTAATAATCTAGACTTAAATTTCTATTTTACACGGGGGTCACAAATTTAGCCCATTTTCATGTTCGGAATTTCCGTATTTCCAATGGCTTTCCGAATGGGACCCAAAAACTGCACTTCTAGATTCTATAACTTGGGTAATTGGATCCCGATTAAGACGTGGGATACCTCTATGAGTTTGTGGTTAAATTCTGTAATAATCTGGATTTAAATTTCTATTTTACACGGGGGTCACAATTTTAGCCCATTTTCATGTTCGGAATTTCCGTATTTCCAATGGCTTTCCAAATGGACCCAAAAACTGCACTTCTAGATTCCCTAACTTGGGCAATTGGATCCCGATTTAGACGTGGGACACCTCTGTGAGTTTGTGGTATAATTCTCTAATAGTTTACATTAAAATTATTCAGTTCATGTGCGATTTTCCGTGTTCCCAATTTATTTTGAAATTATGGAATTAGTACTGCCTCTAACTGCCTTTGTTCTAAGTCCATTATAGATAGTGTTATAGCTTTCTATAGATAGTAATACGTGCAAAATTTTGGCAGTTCGATTGGAGGTCGCACGCGCGAGTTTATCAATACTTTTTAAAGGAAATATAAGTCTGAGCAGGCACAGATAGTTCAAGTGTACCAAGATATGATTACTGTGTGATAATGGCAACATAATCCGTCCCTATATAAAGAACGCAAAAAGTTTGAGTTTTACACATTCGATTTTTAGCTGTCAGGAAAAATGAAAGCCTTTACATTTTTGCTTGTGGTTTTGGCTTCGGCCAGTTGTCTTTTGACTGCTCAGGTAAAATTATTAATCTAAAATGTATCAATTGAAATAAAACTCCAATATTTAACTATAGGCCAACCTTATTGAATCGAGCGAATTAAGCTTGGATACCGAGGCTGACTTTGACTATGAGTACGAAGTGGAAATACTTATGGATGAAATGGATGATAGCTACGAGTTTATGGAGGTGGAAGATTTTGGTGTCTTCCGTACCTTCAGGAAAATCCTTTGGCTGCCTTGAGGACTGTTCGTGGCGCCGATTGCATTATCAGGGAGGTGGAAAGTGTGCTGGACGCTAGCAGAAACTACCTGAAATCCGTTGAGCGCTGCGGCTCCGATCTTCCCAAGGATGCTAAGGATCTTATCAAATCCGTGAAGGACATCGTCCATATCTCCGACACCATCATTAATTTGCGTGCCAGGCTGTGCAGCAGGGACCGATTCTTCTTGACCAGACTGTACCACAAGTTGAGGTGCTTCTTTAGGGTGTTCGGGGCCACCTTGAAGCTGGTCAGGGAGGTTCCCAGGGCTCTGAGGGAGATAGCCAAGTTGCCAGCTAATGCCGGCCACTGCGTTATCAAAGCTACCGACGACGTTAAGGACTCTCTCACCTCCTTCTCTCCCAAAATGAAGACCTGCCTTAAGAAGTAATTCAGTACTATGAATAAATAAAAACATTGTTATTTTACCAGCATAAAAAAGTTGCCTTACAATTCACACGACAACTGCCTCAGCTTCCCTCAACTGCCTACCGCTGATAACTGCCGGAGCACCAAAAAGTTAGGAACAATCAATTACTATTTTAATAACTTTGATGACCGAAATCATCTTACCAGAAAGCGATCGATTAGTAGACCTATGCTTCATATTTTGCTATCTTTTTATACCCTTGCATAGGGTATTATAAGTTTGGTCAGAAGTTTGTATGGCAGTGAAAAAGATCTATTGATTTATAATAATTTTCTTAAATATGGTTAAATATGTTCTAGAAGATTAAGAATTAAACGATTGCATATTGCAATCAGTTTTCCAATTTGTAGTATTTTTAATTGGTTTATGTCATCTCAATTATCAACAGAATAACATTAACATAGGAGATAAATTAATAAAAAAATTTAACTATCGAAGTTCAAGTCAACGAACGTACTTAGGGTTACATTCATAAGAGATATGGGATAGGCATACAAATTACATACACTTCATTTTTTTATATTCTTCCCGACGTTTGCAATGACTATGAACTTATGTACCTAATTAAATGTGGTTTCCTTTTAAAAATTAGATAAGACAACGATTATTCCAAACTTTGACCAAGCAAATCAGATGGTCTATCATCAAAACTCAAAAGGAAGTACTTCATAGGCAATCTTATAGATATTGCGGGAGGTTCAAAAAGAGCTCTTGAGTTTTGTTTACTGATTGGGAAGTACGATTTTAAATTGTTTGCTTAGATTATTTTAGACTCTGGGTATTCCTTAATTTTTTTAAATTAAAAGAGCATTTCGGCAATTGAGGGAAGGACCCCAAGATTGAAGATACTAAAATTGTACAGGGTTGCCATGGCTTTTTAATGAAATAAGGCGACAACTAAGATTTTCAGCAATTCAACAGGGAATGCCCAAAATATTTTAGTGAGGATTTGGGACTCCTCAAATTAGAAGCCTAGGCAAAAGACGTCAAAAGTTGTCGTGACAGATTAACAAATTATTCAGTTCGAATCGGGAGCAGTCTGAAAATGTCCCAAATAAACAATACATTTTTAAAGCTGCGAGCTCGTCTGCGGGAGCGTGATATCAAGTTGTGGGAGGATCCATACTATTTCGAGGGCGTGGGCAGTATCGAATCGGAGATGGATCGTTTGGCCAGGGACTTGAGTGCAGAACTAAGCATTGGTATATCGGATTGCCGGATTGCTCTAAACGAAATGCAGGATAGTGCTCTCAGGAAGCTGGAGGCTCGCAAGGAGTTCAATGACACTGGATTGGCCACTTTTAATGTGCGCTGTGTGGACGGCAAAGGTGTCACCTCGAAAATGATGGAGATCAAGTGCTCGCTGGGAGACTTGGGCTCGGAACTTAAAAAGGAAATTGCCAAAAGCTGAAGTTAAATGATCCCAATCATGTTAAATGCATTTCAAAGGTCGCATTATAAATCCCACAAGACTTTGGCTTCACAAGGCTTAAAGCCAATCAACAGCTAATGGTGATATTAGGAGGTGAAAACAAGGTCAGAAGCTGCATGAACGTATCCAGAGAATTCGAGCTGATGTGGAGATAATTGCGGATGCCGATCATCGTTTTATGGAAATGGAGGATCAAGATGGACGTCCGATTTTTCTGCCACCCGATGAAAATCGATCTCTATTGATGGCCATGAGCATGTACGAAGCATCCAGAGCTGCCATACGCAGGGAACACTTCGATGAGGCCCTACTTTTACTTCTGGAGGCCGATGAACTCTTCTCCCGTTGCAACTCGAACATTCTGGAAGCGGTGGATAATTATGCCCTCATAAATCTGGACATTGTTTGGTGTTATCTTTGCCTGAAGAGTATCACCCAGTTACCGGATGCCCAGCGGCGTTTGGAAATTTGCGAAAGAAGCTTTTTCAAGAGTTACGGCGAGCAGTTTAGTCGTTTATATTCGATGAAAGGTACCAGCTGTCCTGAAAGAGCTTTAATTATGCGGCTTCATCTCCTACAAGGTGTACTCTTTTTTCACCAAAATCGTCGCGATGAGGCTTATGAGAAATTGGATGAGGCTGCAAAGGATTTGGATGAGTTAAGGGTCAATGAATATCAGCTTACGACACTAATGGAAATGGGATTTGGGGAATCGGATGCTCGTTTGGCTTTAAGATCCTGTGCTGGAATGTGGATAGAGCCATACAGTTTATTCAGGAACGTATGGAGAAAATCATGAAGAACGCAAGAACTCGGCTCAAGCGAAGCGTGTAAATCTAGAAATGAGGGAGGCAATTCTGGGGGCGATGGGTGGATCCCCGAGTGTTTGCAGACTCATGGAGATGGGATACGAAAGACGTTTGGTTGTGGAGGCCCTGAAGAGAACCGAAAATAATCTGGACCGCAGTTTGGATCTTCTACAGCGCCGTTCCGATGATCTCCGGCTAATTTGCCCGCAACACCTCCAGTCGATGAGTCTCTACTTTCCACTCTTCAACAACTGGTTTCCCGGCCGCATCCGCTCAAGCTGCTTTGGAAACCACTGTTAATGACTTTCGTAAATCCATAGAATTCCTATTGAAAAGTTTCGTCAGGGAGGAGGAACTACTAGGTGTTATTGAAGCCATGACTAAGTTACTAGAAGATCTCGGACCTTCGGGTTCCAATAGAGGAAATAACCATAACACCACTCCTTTGGTAAACCTATCTACCAGCAAGATAAACTTGATCAAACGGTTCTTAGCCAGGCAAAGTCCGAGATGGAATCGTACAATGCATTCAAAAGAGTCAACGACGAGTTCTCCGAAATCAATTCTCACTATTTGGACATGAAGCTAGTGCAGGAAGAGCAAGTCCTTATCGAGTATAGAAGTCTGCTGGAGCGTTGAATTCTTTATACAAAGAAATTATGTAAATTTTGGAATTTTCCAAAATATTTCTAATCGCAAAGATTATTAAAATATCTCATATATTTTATGTGTAAATGTTTATTATTTGTCTATGAATCAGGTGGGATTATTCGTATGTACAAGTCAGTTTAAATACATTGCTTTAGGAACTCCGACATTATTTAATTACGTTTACTATAGAACACCTCCATGACAAAATTTATACCACGATTACGTGGCGATGTGAACGTGACCTGCGATTTATGAAAAGGTGGTAGATTACTCATTGAGATCGAACCACCTACTTTTGATTTATCCCAGAATTTGACAGCACTGACCGTGTGACTCATTGATATCCGCTCGATATGGGTAGAACTTTTAAATACTTGGCCCTGACAGTATATCTTCCTAAGTACACCATCGCCCGGGTTTGGCCATCCAAATATCTGACTGTTGTCCCTCCCGATGGTCTTGTTTGAAAATAAGGTGATGAAAATTGCCAAAAAAATAGTATGGAACCTCATTGATAATACTTTTCCTACTATAAAGAGAGTAGAATGTAATTAACTGTTTTGCATTTTCGTGTCATGCTTGATATATAATAGGATTAAAGTGGTTCCACTTTTAAGAAAATATTCTCTCTTGTTAATATCCAATGGAATGTTTTGTAGGTTTTAAAGACTTCTACAAAACTATATACTTTCCTAGCATAAAGCGCTCTGCAATCCAAACAATTATCATAATTTGTTGGTTTTATCCCAGCCCCAGATCCATTTCGACCATCCATCTCGACCATCCATCCAATCTCCCACCAAAAACTCAACTACTTAATGCCCGACGAAGTATGCTATGCATTTTGGTGGCTGATGTTGCTGTTATTTGCTCACTCATGTGCATAACGTCACAGTTTTTCACAATTTTGGTTGTATTCTGTGTGTGTACTCTTTTGCGTTTGGCTGACTTTGTGAAAATTAATAAGTTTCCAGACCCTCGCCAATCTGCCAATGCCATGCGAAAGTTCTGCAGATGATGGCCAAATAATTTGTCGTCCTGTTTTGTGGCGTTATTTCCGAATCGTTAAACCTAAAATAAACCCAGTTTAGCTTATTTCGCTCTTCACTCTTCGGTTTTTCCTAGCACTTTTCTTCATTTCGTGTTGTTCGGTTTAGGTAGATTTATTATATATGCGAAATGGCGCACAAATTTTGAGTGGTTGACATTTTCACTTGACTGCAAATTCTGTCACTTTTTTCCTCGGCTAAATCGAGCATTCAGTGGTCCCACAAAAATATTACCTTACCAAAAAGTAATTTGGCTGATTGTTTTCTATTTTAATAAATGGAGGTCTCCTTGGTTACTTGGTAAATTATTCAGATTTTGAAAATGGGTTACATACGTTTTTTGCCAAAAAAAAATTAATTTATGTATGTCAATCGATTGGAACTTTATTTCGAGGTATTTTTTTCACAGCTTTGGCAACCGTTTAAACCGCACCGAAAGGGTTTAAAAATTGTTTCTTGCAGTTTGGTTGATGCATTTTTCCCCCTTTTTCCTATTTTCTGAGACCTCGCGTTATGACACGAAAATGCTAAAATTTGTGAGGCAAAAATCACAAAAAAAGAATCGCGGCAAAGAAGAAGAAATGTCAAAATGTTGTTAGAGGACTCGGCGGCCTGTCTTATTTAGTAGCGAAAATGAGCAGCGGCAGGCATATCCTTGCTGGGAAAAAAAAGGGGGTTGGCAGGCAGAGGACAGCGTTTAGATTTTGTTTTTTTCCAGGGTTTTCCAGGGAAAGGGGTGGGAAAAAAAGAAAAAAGAAAAATGGGAGGAAAATGCTTCACTGGGCCGCGCATTCTTTGGCTGATTTCCGTTGGTTGTTAGTAGAGGTTGCAACCACACTTAGAAACTTACTACAAAAAAATTTATTTAAACAAAATATATTTTTAAATTGTGTTGTACTAAAAATTAAAATCATAAATATTAATTGGAAATAAAAAGGTAGAGTATTTGTCTTTGTTGAAAGAAATATAGTTTTAAAGAGTTTTAATAAATTTTTCAATAAATATATTAGAACACACTTA